CCTCCCAGCTCCCAGTCTGAAAGTAGAGTGTTCTGTTTGGTGTAGGTTATGGTTTGGATCCAGGAACACTAACAAAAAAATCCATATAAATTAATGGTAATAGCATTCTGAGTACCCCCTCCTCCCTGCAATAAACTGCCAGATACACCAAATAGGAACATTGTACTTTAGGTAGAATTTGCAGGGTAAATGGCAGCTCTTTTGTATTTGAGTTCTGAACACAGTAGTTCCGGGCGGGAGGGGTAGGAGAGCCTGTGTTACTGATGCTCTTCCTGCTCACATCCTTGGGCAGTAGATGGACCAGACCCCAGGATTAGGCTCCACCAGGCACAGAGGCTCTGCATCTCTGGGGGCCCTCCACCTCCAAGTGGACTGCACAGGCAGGCACAATTGCCAGCATGTTCTGTTTGCCGGTTGGATGGCTCCCGCGAGGCAGGGGAGGGAAGCAGCAGACTCTGCACACCCAGTTTCACTCCCTCTGTAGAGAGGAGTAAGTGAGGGCCAGAAAGGGGCCAGGAGTGTGATGCAGGTGGAACTCTGCCATAGAGGAGGAATCCAGAGTGAAGGAAAAGTGCGCCCAAGTGGTGAACCCAGCACATTCTGGCTTCACTTACCAAAGGGAATTGACTCAGTACATCATTAGGACATCCTAGGGTGGATCAGGATTCAGATGTGACCAGATCCAGAAGCTCCAGTGGTGTGGGTGTGGGCAGGGTAGAGGCGCCTTCTCTTAGTTTCTCTTCGTTTCATCTTCAGGCAGGTTCTTCCCTTGTGCCTTCACCAGGATTCCAGGCTTCTGAGATCCTTAGATCAGAGCGTCAGAAATACAGACAGCAAATTTCCTGACTTCTTTGTAAAAACTCTGATTTGCCTCAGAGAGTGCCGCGGACCAGCACAGCAGTAGACGATGAGGCCACCTCAGGGTTGAGAGAAGCGTGCAGGGTGGTCAGGGCGTCGGTGAAAGAAATGACAAACAGACACACTTCAAGAGTGAAAATCTGAGTGTAATTTTCTTTGAGTTTGTGACCAATATATATATGTTTTCCAAAAGCACAGGGACAATGAATATCAATGAAATCAGCTTGCTCATGGGCTCAGTCTATCACCATCAGGGAGGTGATCTACATAACAAGCAATGACTTTTATAGAAGAAAGAAGGAAGTTTAGAAAGACAATAAGGGATTAAAGTTTGTAGTTCTAGAAAGACGGGATAAGATTTTTAGCATTCTTGTAGTGGTTCCTGGTGGTCGTTATCTTTTGATAAGCTTCTGTCTTTTCAGGGAACTTCCGCTGTACTTCCTCTACTTCAGGGTGTTTTGCTGTTCTCCCCCTGCGCGCTGGTTGCCCAGCCGGACCTAGGGACCGTGGCGAAAGCCATTCCTAAAGGTCACTGCGGGGGGAGGTGCAGCAGGTATGTAGGGTTTTGCTGTTCTCCCCCTGCGCGCTGGTTGCCCAGCCGGACCTAGGGACGGTTAGCCCTAAAGGTCACTGCAGGGGGAGGTGCAGCGGAGAGGACCATGCATCTATAGCCAAATCAGTCACTGTGGGTCTGGGGATTGGAAACAGGTGTCATCCCTCCATCACTTGGGCCAAAGGGAAAAAAACAGAGAAAAACCCAGGAGGTCTGTGTCCTCGAGTGGATGCTGCACCAAGTTTTAAAAATGAGTAGTGATTATGTTATAGGACAGGGAGAAGGGCAGCCCAAACCCCGCAAACCTGCCTATTCTAAATGGGTTCTGCCATCCGCCGCATCAACACAAAACACATGAGACTTTAATGGGAAGGAACTTTAATAAAGCTAGGAAACAATACAGGTAAGGCAAAGAGTCTAGTTTCTAAATGAAGCACCCAAAGTTACCCGTCCCTCATGGGTAAAAGTCCATCCATATGGGGTCGGCCCAGAGCAAGGCCCCAAAGCCTGCCACAAGTCTAAAACATCTTCCAGTGGGGACCCACAGAAAAGGGTCACAAACAACCAGACAAGCCGGAAGGAAAAGAGCAAAATCAACATCAAGATAAAAGCTGCCATTGTCACCTCCCCACGGGTCTCACCCACATCTGTGTCACCTAGTCCACGACCAAAAGACAAGCGCAGTTTCTTCACGTGTCTCTAGGCTCCATGTGCCTCCTCCAGGTCTCCTTGCTCCATCCTGCTTCCTTCCTCAGTCTCTTCTGCAGCTTCTCCTCTTCCTGCTCAGCTCCACCCTCCCTTGGGTGGGGCAGGGAACCTCCCCCTTCCTGGGACCACCCTGTTACATTCCCCCCTTTTAATTTTTATTCCACCATATCTATGGTGGCACAGATCTCATGGTGTAATTTTAGGAGACAGTCTTTTTTTCAGGGTTACAATGTGTGTAAGAGAAGCAACAATTAGTCAGCAGCATTGTCCATGAATGTCCAGTATGACAGTTTTATTACTTAAAAATAGTCCATTATCCAAGCCAAAAGAAAAAAAAAATCTGGAGCATTGGCTAAAACAAGATAGCAAATATATCAAAATTACAGGGAAAAAATGTTAAAATGGTTCAACTGATGTAAAACACAAATTTTCTCAACCTTGATCCCAAACTTTAACAGCATAGCAAAAGTTTGCAAACTAAATCTACTTTTAAACCATTTTTCCTATTTTTGTATAAAATCACAGGGCAGAAATAACTAACAGCAATTTTTAGCTGGCTTTGTTGAAATACTCCATACAGGATCAGAGCGAACCGGCGGCATCCAGTCGATGTAGGCTTTAGGTATAAAGTTGGTCTCATCAGACTCCACCTGGCTTTCCTCTTCTCGAGGGTACCAGGGCATTTTCGTTGGCCGGGTTGTCCAGTCCTGCCAATGGAGGCAAGCTTCCTCACCTTCTTTGGAGGTCTCTGGAACCTACAAACAAGGCAAACAGGTTCTCCTCTTCTTGGTTCAGCTCTTTTTCAACTTTCTGGAAGAACTCCACACAAAGCCACACAATCAAACTCACGTCCAATTTTCGTTAAAACAGACAAAATCCCTATGGAAGTTATGCAAAAACAGACTCTGAAATAAGTAGCAAAAATTACTACCACTATTTGTATGGTGTGTTGGTATCAAGGGGAGAGAAAATGTGACAAGTTAGCTTTGCTGGAAAAAAATTACAACCTTTCTGCAGATCCTGGTTAGTCAAAACAAAACAAAACAAAACAAAAATTTCGTGGATTAAGGACAGAATGCATAAAAAAAAAAGTTCCAGTATTATGTCAAAGAAACCTTAGTAAATGTCAGGTGTATTTCCAGGTCTATTGAGTCCTTTGTAAGAAAGTTTTACTCTCAACAGTTCCATCAATAGGAATCTGTTACAGACACACAGATCTTCACAAAGCCCAAGCCAGTTTTTCAACAGCAAATCGACATATGAAACAAACACACCGGAGAAACCAAAAATCACATTTGCGCTTATGGTAGCCAGCGCCACAGGGAAGCCCAATTTCCCCATGGGGCTGACTAACCACGGATGGCTCTGTCCTAAATTACGTTGGACGCCAAATCTGTTATAGGACAGGGAGAAGGGCAGCCCAAACCCCGCAAACCTGCCTATTCTAAATGGGTTCTGCCATCCGCCGCATCAACACAAAACACATGAGACTTTAATGGGAAGGAACTTTAATAAAGCTAGGAAACAATACAGGTAAGGCAAAGAGTCTAGTTTCTAAATGAAGCACCCAAAGTTACCCGTCCCTCGTGGGTAAAAGTCCATCCATATGGGGTCGGCCCAGAGCAAGGCCCCAAAGCCTGCCACAAGTCTAAAACATCTTCCAGTGGGGACCACAGAAAAGGGTCACAAACAACCAGACAAGCCCGGAAGGAAAAGAGCAAAATCAACATCAAGATAAAAGCTGCCATTGTCACTCCCACGGGTCTCACCCACATCTGTGTCACCTAGTCCACGACCAAAAGACAAGCGCAGTTTCTTCACGTGTCTCTAGGCTCCATGTGCCTCCTCCAGGTCTCCTTGCTCCATCCTGCTTCCTTCCTCAGTCTCTTCTGCAGCTTCTCCTCTTCCTGCTCAGCTCCACCCTCCTTGGGTGGGGCAGGGAACCTCCCCCTTCCCTGGGACCACCCTGTTACAATTATGCTACATGATGGAAATATGGGTGTATTCTTTTTCCTGACTAATTTATTATTTATTTATTACTGAGCATTTATTATTTCATAAATGGGCAGGATGATAAAATGAACTTTATAAGTATTTGTTTTAATCCTGCCTTGCCCCAAAAAAATTTATAACCAAAAAAAAAAAAAAAAGACAAGCAGAAAATAAGGGTAAGAAGCAACAGCTTCTTACTGTTCCTAGATGTTAGCCAGAAATAGGACACCAGGAAAAACCTTTTGTTTGGGGGAAAAAAGAAGGGTCTGTCACTGTAAGGCGCCAGTCTGGACTCACAGCCGCTGCTGAATTGACAGCTCAACACTCACCCTCCATGGCTCATGACCTCTGTCTCTCTGTGCAGTTATCCACCTTCTTTTTGGTTTAAAGTGACCTCCAAAACTTACCTCCAACCACAAAATTACAAAATTTCTTCCTGGAAAGCCAGTGCCCATGATACCCAGGAGGTTTCCTTATCTCTGAGACAGTCCCAGGCGGGGGTCAACCTAGCATATAAACACTGGGGTTTTATTTTTGCTTATTTCCACCTCCCTTGCAGGCCAGAGTACCTTGCAGCCAGTCTTGATCAAGCTGGGATATCCCAGCAGGAGGCCTTGTGTTGAGCCCTCTCCCAAGCTGGTCACTGCTCCCACATTTAAGAAAACAAACCCAACCTTCCAGGGTCTGGCAGCTGGGTTCCTGTGCCCGTTGAGGCAGCCACATCATGTTTAGACAATCCAGCCTTCAGGGGTCCTCCCATGGCCTGGATAAACTCAAGGTTTCGGGAAATCCAGCGAGATGCCACAAGTGAGGGTAGACAGCGTGTTAGGGTTTGCTGTGTGGGTTTGTTTTTTTTTTAATTAACTCTTGGTTGCCTCCCTCTAAACAGACAGCTACAGACAGTTCTTCTAATTCCTCTCAGAAGAAAGAACAACCTACTCGGACAATTTCTTCTCCCACGTCTTGTGAGCACCGGAGGATTTATACCCTGGGCCACCTCCACGACTCATACCCCACGGACCACTGTCACCTTGAACAGGTGAGCACACTCGTTGCTCTGAGATCATCCAGGTGGATGGCCTTTGATTCTGGAACAGCCGCCTTCCCCTCTCTCCTGTGGAGCTAACTGCCCTGAGCCCAGCCCCTTGTGCACTCCCCCATTACACCCCCAATCGGTATTGAAGGTAGTGGCAACACCACCTTACTCAGAATTTTCTGTGTCAGATTCCTACTGAACGCTTTATGTGCTTTATCTCAACCAGTCCTCACAAATTACCCCCATAAAGCAGGTCCTCAACACCCCCAGAGTTCCTGGTAGAACAAGATTCAAATGCAAGGCTGTCCTCACCCAGGGCGCCTGCTACACTGCCTCCTGCATTCCTCTATCCAAAGGGCCTCTTGGCTTTGTGAGAGCACAGAGCCAGGATTGGGACTGAGGAATGCTGCGCGCTTGGCTCTAGCCCCCTGGCATCACGGGCTGCGGGCCCAGGCTTGCTCAGGGGAGATAGAACTGAAGCCTGGAATTCAGTAGTTCAACAAATATTTACTGAGCAGTGGCTGTTTTGGGGAGCAGGTTCCCAAAGTGTGGGGGATGGACTGGTGCCCATGGGGGAATGTGGCTACCTCTCTGCTCTATAAGGAGAAAAAGGGAGCACTGGGCAGTGAGTTTTTTTTAAATAAAGCTGTATTTCTCTAACTCTATAAACATTTCATTGTATGCTTTCTAATATTTTGACATTTGTGGTAATAATAGATGGGACTTGACATTTTTGACAGTCCTTACTTTTGCAATTTTGCAAAGTCTGTGTCAACTCCCAAGATTTTGAAATCCTGTAAGACTAATTTTCTGAAGTCCAGGAAACTGATGTCAGGAATTGGACAGGCATGAGGGTAAAAAGTGGATGGGACATGGCCCTGCTCCTACGGAGCTCGTGGTCTGGTTGGAAGTGATGGGTAATCCTAATCATCATGGGATAAATTCTGTAGTGATATTATAATGAATTAATGGCAACGGGTATCGAGCACATCCTTGTGGGGGGCTCTGAGCTGACATGCATAGCTTCTTTTTAGTCTCACATCTGTGCAATTTGATAGAGAAACTGAGTCGGAGCTTAGCAGCTTGCTAGTAAATGCCATAGTCCAAATTTGACTCCAGTGAGTTCTTGCAGAGCATGTTCCTCACCCCTTGGGAAAAAACCATCCTGCCCAAAGTACTTCAAAGAAGGACAAAGATGGATGGTCACTTTCTCTGTAACAACTGAGATGTCCTGTACAACACAGGCTTACCCAAATCTATCAGTAACTGTTCACTCAGCACTTGCCACTCAGGACAAGATATTGTTGCAAATTCTAGCAGGACTCTCTGCAAAGACAACTCTCTGACTCTCCAGGAGCTTGCAGTTTGGATTTGAAGGCTAGAGGGTGTGACTCTGAATCCAGCTTGCCTGGACTCAGCCTCCAGCCCCACAGTCACTATCTGGGAGATCCCAGCAGCATCTGAACCAGGCAGCCGGCTTGCAAGTGTGCATTTTCACTCCTCGGCTCCCAGCAACTTCTCTTCCCAACCAGATGATAAAGTACTTGTGATCCCTATAGTTCCTACCCACATTTGCTTTTTTGGACGTGACCCACAGTGAGAAATGCACTTCCTGTTGTGTGCCAGTATACACAGATTATATACATGTAATGAAAAGCACTTGCCCTTATAACAGCACACTCCAGTGTTGTTGTATCTCACTGAAGAAAACTGGGTTTTACAAAAGAGAACATACTATACAAAAACTGTTGAAAGTAATCTATGCTGTTAGAACTCAGAATAGTGGTCACCTCAGTTAGGGCTAAGAGGTGACCTACGAGGGCAGGCGGTATGTGCCGCTCCCCCTCTGATTGCTGTTTGGTTGTGTTCCATCTGAAAAGTTCACCTGTATTTTTTTCATTGTACACACTATTCCTACATATGTAGTCATCGACAGAAAGGGAGGAAATGTTGGCCTCCACCCATTAAACTGATTTCCTGGCCCAGGAACTGATTGAGACGCAGTTTGGGTACCTCAGTCTTTTCAAGAAAAGCCTCCATCGAGATGGAAAGGTACGAGTTAGAGGGTTTTTTCTTCCTTTTTTGCCATTGCTATAAAATGTCTCCTTTTTCCCGGGCAGCCGATGCCAAGGCCCTACCGGCAGGTGAGCTTCCCCGACGACGACGAGGAGATCGTGCGCATCAACCCCGGGAGAAGATCTGGATGACGGGGTACGAGGATTACCGGCACGCGCCCGTGAGGGCCAAGTACCCGGACCCCTCCGAGGACGCGGACTCCTACGTGCGCTTCGCCAAGGGCGAGGTCCCCAAGCACGACTACAACTACCCCTACGTGGACTCCTCGGACTTCGGCCTGGGCGAGGACCCCAAAGGCCGGGGCAGCGGCGTGATCAAGACGCAGCCGCCGCGGGGCAAGTCCCGGCGGCGGAAGGAGGACGGCGAGCGCTCGCGGTGCGAGTACTGCAGGGACATGTTCAACCACGAGGAAAACCGCAGGGGCCACTGTCAGGACGCCCCCGACGCCGTGAGAACTTGCATCCGCCGGGTGAGCTGTATGTGGTGTGCGGACAGTATGCTCTATCACTGTATGTCGGACCCCGAGGGAGACTATACAGACCCGTGCTCGTGCGATACTAGCGACGAGAAGTTTTGCCTCCGGTGGATGGCCCTTATTGCCTTGTCTTTCTTGGCCCCCTGTATGTGCTGTTACCTGCCCCTGCGGGCCTGCTACAACTGTGGAGTGATGTGCAGGTGCTGCGGAGGGAAGCACAAAGCGGCGGTATGACTCAGCTCCCTCCCTCCCGTGCAGGGAGCTGGCTCTCACATAACCCCCTGCCCACCCATTCCCTCCCACCCAAAGGAGCCAGGAGACCGAGAGGCCTCCCAGCTTCCTGGTACCTTAAGGCACCTTTCCGGCCTCGGGAACCTGCCTGGTGGACTCTGCATTCCCCCCAGCCGCCCACTCTGCATCAGCCACACACCCATGCAGTGTTCTGAGGAAAGGAACCTTCTTATAGACTCGCCTGTACTATTATTAACCTGTAATCAAGCTTACTCTGACACACGTTGTTGATTTCCTGTTTTTCCACCCCACCTCTTCCAGTTCAAAGGTGCCTGCAGTAGAACTGCTGATTTTTGGTGGGTTTTATAGTTGGTTTTTCCAAGAGCGTGGAAGACTGTCTTTCCCCTTGGATTCAGTTTGCCTGTTGCTCGTGAGAACGGAGTTCCTGCGGCCACGGGATAGCAGAGTGACGAAACCCTACCAGAAGTATTTTAACCTGCAGTCAGTTATTATGTATATCAGAGATGAGCTAGTTAACTTCTACCACAAAACCAGAGCGCTTTAACTTTTTATAAAGCCAAATTTCCCATGCAAGCTGCAGTTTCTATCTTGAATCTATCATCATTTTTTTCTGCAAACTTCCCCCCATTTGTCAGTTATCACTGATACAAAACATTCACCCATAACATGAGAATTTAGCCTTAATTTCAAATTAACCGTGAAAATCAGGAAAATTCCTTAAACTGTATTGCATCCTCTTGGATCAGGGTTAGAAAGGAAATTTCAGGTTTCGCTGAGCCTCCCCAGTTACCCCTGAAGTAGAACTTACTAAAATTGTGTGCCCACCACATCTAAAAATTTAACAATATTAGAAGAAAATGCTAATGAAGAAATTATTTACTCATTGTTTGGCAAACCAGTCTATTCAAACAAATTAGTGTTCTCCTAACCAAGGTCCATTGAGGAACACTAAGGTTGTGGTATATCAAACTGCAGGAGCTTTACATACACACACACACACACACACACTATTTTCTGTTAACCGGGAGAAAGGGGGATTCTAAATCATAAATTTGAAGAGTGGTGGGTTGCATTTTGTTTGTGGGTTCATGTTTTGTTTTCACTTTGGAGTCAATTTCACGTCACCAAATTCTTCATTTATACTTGGGGAAAAAACAAGGCCATATATGAAAACCCTTTCAATGCCTAAGTGTCTTTTTCCTGCAACTCCAAACCCAGACTTGCCACTTTGGGTGCACAGAGGGTTAGTTTAGCAGGCTGGGTCTACCTGTCGCCTTGCCACATAGCTTCTAATAAGCTGGAAAAGAGTATTTTTCTAATATATTGCAAGGAATAGCCAAACCTTACTACAGAAAGAAAAAAAGTGAAGAGTGATTACCTGTACCTAGCATAGTACAATCAGAACGCCGTGGAAACCATAGGGAACAGGCTTGTCCACGCTGGCTGTTCTCCCCACGGTGATATTCCCGTGGTAACTGCCAGCCAAAGGCATGGCCTGATCCTTCTCTCCCCACTTCCCCCATCCCTTCTTTATTGCACACAGGACATCAGTCTTCAAGGAAACGACTTTCCAGTCTGCCAATCGTATTGGGAAAGGACTAGCCACATTCAGTTTCATGGGAATGTTTTCAGCTCTGCTGAAACATTTCAGCCTGTCAATTTCTTTAGTCAGACCATCGGTGTAAATACCCAGGATGCTTCTAAGTTAGTTGGTAGATGTTTGCATTTGTGGAGTGACTGGTTTGGGCCTTCCAGTTTGGACAAGGAGCAGAGAGCTGTCAGTCTGGTGATGGAAGAGAAAGAAACACTTCCTGCCTGGGAAACATCTAGAAAACCTTCAGCCAGCCTCCAAACGTTGTCAAGAGACCACCATTCCTCCTCTCCCCCTCACCCCCGAGGTATTTCCTCAGGGTCTTTTTCAAGGTCTCCTCTCTACAAAGCACAACACTAATGTATGTTTTGTTAGACCTCAGTTCAAGTGCCCCTATTTATTTCAATAAGAATACACACATCCCCGCCGCTTTTATTTGTCATCTCTCTCTAGTCTTCTGATTGCTTCTATCTTCCATTCCCCCTTGTCTTTTTTCACCCCTTTGAAGAGTTATGCTAGTGAATCTTAACTCTGAGGATACTTTTTAGGTTTGTGAAGGCGGTGGTTAAGGGCACAAGGACAGCCCCGGGGACATTAATGTAAATACGTCTCTCCTAATCACCACACTGCAGCTAAACAGTGTGTAGAGTTTTCCCAGTCAGCTTTGCCATACTGACGTCAATCATTTGAGAGAAATTATTCAGATTTTATTTTTGTATCTGTGGTAACAAAACATTAACCAAAAGATTTTCTGTTGGGAAGCTTCCCCTGACACCCCCCCCCCCCAGCTATTTGCTCACATTAACAAATTAAAGTGCCTGAAGCATAAGTCATTCTTTACCTGTATACTAAAAACCCTGTTGTATTGATTTTTTATAAGCCTTTTTACCTCTGTGTAAAAATATATATATACAAGTGTATGATGTACATTTTAGTTCTTAACTTTTTTTTATGGTTTCTAATATGTATGACCAATGTAGCCATTGCTTTAAAATGTACCGTGTAAATATACAAACATCCTATCAGATCACAGACTTTGGGGTGTTTATCTGACTGGAGGTGGTTGGCTGTTGCACCTGGGCAGGCATGGGAGTTCTTGAACACAGGATGGGAAGGGGTTTCCTTTGGAGAAGGATGTGTGGACACCAGTCTGTTTTTGTGAGGCCTTCCCGCCTATGGTTATGTCATATTCCCCAGGGGAGACTGCAGCTCCTTGGGCTGAGATGCCTCAAGTGAAAGGAATGCTGTATGTCACCACCCGGGAAACACCCCCTCTTCCTAGTCCTGGCTTCCCCCACGCGTGCTCCTCAGAGGGAACAGCTGTACTTCCTCTGAGTTGTTTTCCTCTGATTCCTGCTGAACCCCTGTGTGTGTGTGTGTGTGTGTGTGTGTGTGTGTGTGTGTGTGTGTGTGTGTAGTTGAGAAGAGAGTTTTTCACAGAAAACAAATGTTAAAATTGCAAGACCCTTGGACTCATTGGAGAGGTCCTGTTTCAGTGACATTTGGCCCACTTTCCCTTCCAAATGGGCTCTTTGGATGCTCAAAAGTTACAATAACAATTCCCTGGAGGAGATAGAGTATGGGGTCTTGCAAGGGTCACAAAGGAAAGTTTCAGCTCCTTCTGCTAGAGAACAGAGTAGGAGCCTTAAAAAGAGATGTATAGAAGGGCCCCTCCATCTTAGTTTTAACTCTGCCTGAAAGGGGTAACTTTTCCAAGCCACTGGCAAAGGTGAAAAGCAACAGGAGATGCTATGTGTCAGAAAGTGAGTGGACAGAAAGCAGTCTTGAAGATTAGTAACTAAGAGAGTAGAGAAGTTAATGAAAACGGCTCCATTAACACCAGAAAGGCATACACCAAATTATGGTGGTGTGAAGAAGCAAAAGGAAGTAAAAATATAAAATGTAAACCAATTTTTCAAGAAGTTTGATGGTAAAAGAACAATGGGGTTTCTCGGAAGTAGAACTGATGAATTGAAAAATAGTATCTGCCAAGATAATATCTGTGTATTTACATGTTGTTATGACAGTTAATCCTGAATAAACATGTGATTTTAAAAAGTGAGAAAACTTGGAAGGTACCTCCAGAGCTGCAGTAGGGAAGGAATCCTAAAATTTTACTTGACCTGGCCCTATTCAAGACACGTCCTTCTCATGATCCCTGTTTACAACCGTGGAGCTGAAGCTTACAAAGGGTAAGTAACTTAGAAAGGGTAAGGCACAAGGAGGTATAACGTACCTATAGTGATGAGAGGCAAGCACCAAACCTGAGCCCAGGTCCTGACCAGACTGGGAAAGTGGGCAGCAGTCAAGAGACACCTTATTCTCTTGGGCTGCCCCAGAACAGCTTGTTTTCAGGGTCCTGGTGTTCAGCCAGGAGTGGGTCACACTGCATACATCAACTCTTAACCCTCCACGGAACAGAGGGTTCATTTCTACTTTACAAGTGAGGAAGCAAATACAGAGACATTACTTTAACCCCACCTAGGTCACTGGGGAGTCTCAGCCATTCCTAGTGTTACCACTACCCTCTGAGCAAATGACTTCACTTTCTGAGCCTCAGTTTCCTCAGGTATATGGAATAATGCCTACTCTCAGCATGGCATGAAAGTTAAGTAATCATGTGTACTTACAGGGCAGTACACAGAAGGTACTTCCAATATGCTAATTTCTTTCTCAGTTCCTCCTTTGTTCTGGGACCCTGAGGAAAAACCGAAGCCTGGAGAGTCAGCAACCTCTTTGAAGCACAGGAGGCTAAAGCCATTTTGGATGTTTTGTGAGTATTTAAATACACAACCTCTATGTTGAGATTTTTTTCTTAATCTCCCTGCAATTCTAAATTAAGGTTTTAGTTTTTGTATTTGTTTTTTGCTGGTCCTCCCAGATACATTAACAACCCATGGGATAGCTGCAGAAGTGAACTCATCTGGCTCCATTCCTCAAGAACCAGTGCAGACATTTTGGAGAAAGTTGATGGCCTCCATCAGTTCAGTTCTGAGAGGGCTTAGCATACTCACCCAGGGTTGACAAACACTGACTTGCAGAATACTGCCTTCCTGGACCTCTGTTCCTAATACTCTTCCATGCTCATTACCAATGTGGGTACCCCCCACCCCTGAAAATTGGGACATCTTCCCAGGGGAAAAAGTGTTATAGGAAGAGTTCTGTTTTACAGGTATTTTCAGGTAGTTATTAAAACATGACTTTGAGCAGGCAATCAGAGGGCTATTCCTATGAATGAGGAAATAGAACTTGTAAAAGTATGTCTTCTGCTTACTGGCATTCTTTTTTTTTTTTTTTAAAGATATTTATATATACAAGCGCTGGGTACAGTCAGAAGCGCCGGAGGGTGAGAGAATTCACCAGAGCCAGAGCGGGGAACAGAGCAGGCAGACTGATGAAGTACACTGCTGAGGGGAGCAGCGGGCACGGCAGG